TCACCAGAAAAATTATTAGATTAACGTAGAGGGATATTAATCGATAAGCTTATCGCCATGAAAATCAGCTCAAGAACTTGCAAGAATCGAAGAAGAAGAAGTTATAAATGACTCTGATACCATATTTAATATTTTCAATTAAAGCTACTTAACTCAAAATTTGTTACACGGTTTGATATATATAATACATTGGTTTAGTAAAAGGAAGCTAAACCAATCGGTATAATATATAACCGATATGATATAATAACACTTGTATCAGTGTATGATTTAGTTTTGGATTGGGTATGCTTACCATACTGAAAATATCTCAGACAAAATTGAATTGTACAAGAAAAAAAAAAGAAAAAAAAAACATGAAATTGTAGTGCGAAAGAGTATCATACAAATATGAAATGGAAAATGAGAGAAAATAAAGAGTGCGTTACACTCTAGGACACATTGTATCTTCTCCTTACACCAAAAGACACATTGTACTGGAGGAGCACTTTATTTGAGTTTTGCAATTTTTTAAGATAGAAATACTCTTATTGTTCTAAACAATTTGTTTGGTAAAGAATAGTTGTTTTTGGTAAAGAATAGATGTTTAAAAAAAACAATAGGTACGATAAGAATAGTACAAAAGTGTCTACTTTATTTCACTTTCTAGCAATTATATTAAAATTTACATTTTTAATTTCTCGAACGTATTATATCTGTCACTATACTATATTCTACTTTATAAAATAAATACATAAAATAAATTATCCATTTTTTCTTTACATTTTGATATTCATATGTATTATTTTTAATAATTTTTAAAGGTCAAATTTCAATTTTTGTCAATATATTTTGATTTTTGTGTATATAGTTTTGTGGATACATTTTTGTGGATGACTCCTTAATATACATGGACATGTGTGTTGTGGATACTGTTTGGTGTTCATATACATGTATTGTGTGTAAACCACCTTTGATACTTGCTTTTGTTGATATCAATCAACATTGTTCTGATAGCAATTAATAGTATATATCTCTATCAAAACCATATGTAAATGTATATCTTTTAAGTATGAATATCTTAAACATGTTCTTAATCATATAAAATGTTGTGGATGAGGTAAGGTGGACAAAGATCTCAAACCTACAAAATTATGAACAAAATTTATGGATGTCTTAAGGATGAGTGTTAGTATATATATATCTACAGTGAATGCTTAAATGTAGACACAAGGTATGTGGATAGTTGAACATGGATATAGTATTGGTTATATAAACAAAAGTAAAACTGCTTACAGACTCTAAGACGAGAAATGTGGACGCGAAAAACTAAATGTTGTGGATAGAAATATGAATAATTGTTTTAATTAAATTAATCATGTTATAGAAAAAAGTAAAATCTGATTAATGTTGGATGACTTATATCTTGTTGTTTTAATGAGTTTTAACATTTTCACCTTATTCAAATAATTTTAGAATGCATTTAGAGGTCTTAGATACATATATTTGTTCATTTACATTTATAGGTTTTGGAGTACACATTCAGAAGTTTAGGGCTAAATCAAGAAGATCATTTTTTATATTTTCAAAATTTTGGGGTCAAAGCATGAATAACCAAAAGATGAGTGACCACAATTGTATAAAGGGGAAAATTCACCATTGTTGGTGTCAGAGCTTTTGGATCAACGAACGTTATCCTAAACTGGTTCAAGAATAAAAAAACAATAGAGTCTGAGGACTAAAGGTATCAGCTTCACTAACTTAATCCTAGACTATGACTCAACAAGAGATAGTAGCTTACATGGGTGAGTTTGGACAAAGGAGACTCTTTGAATATCTTCATCCATGGAAACTGCACAGAATTGATGATACTCCTAAAGTGCTTTTCCAAATAAATCATCAAACCTCCTCCCAACTAACTTAAATTATAAACAAGTCAACGTGTTCGACCGAAATCTTAATATGATGTCATCCAATCTTCCACCATTTTCGACTCCTACCCAAAAAATGATGTTTGTCCAAGAATAGTTGTTTTTGGTAAAGAATAGTTGTTTTTGGTAAATCTTCAAAGCTTGAGCTTGGACATACATCATTTTTTGGGTAGGAGTCGAAAATGGTGGAAGATTGGATACATGAACAGCGAAGAAGAAACAAGTATTGAGGAAAGATCGAATTTTGTGGATATGCAGGAATGACATATCTATAACTTGATTATAAACTGTTCTTAATTATATTTCCAATTTTATCGATGTTAGACTGAGATAAATGGTGAAATGGGATTATACTATTGTTGTGAGATATTCTCTGTTTCTATTCTGATGTTTTGTTTTTTTTAAGAAATTTTTGTTGTCGGTAGAGAAATGGAACATAACAAACAATAAAGACAAATAAGTTAAAACAAAAACAATTATACTCAAGATAATTAGAAGGATAAAATAGACAAATCATCGATAAAAAGTGTGTCATATGTCTATTGTGTCTTAAGTTGTAATTGAAAAGACAAAATATGTCTGTCAATGTAAATTTTGTAAAAATAAATTAGTATTTGTCAGAAAGAAGTTTTTAATAGAAACAGGGAATCAATGTCAGGCTAAAGAAGATGACAGACGGGTCATCTTTCTCCACCACCGTTGTTTCGAGAAAACTAGTTCTGGACCACTTATATTATTAGTTTGATTTCAAAGCAACATATATAATAATATGATTCACCACAAATATTAATTAATAATGTTAATACTCCAACTCTTTGAGCTGCGAATGTTCATTCCGTTCACGTCTTCAGTTCAGTTCTCAAACGATATGAAAGATTGCAGACGTGTTATTTTCGTTAAGATTAGATGTAGAAATTGTATACCTTATTGCAGTAACCAATTCCAACACTTCACTTTAAAACAAAGATAACTTTTATTAGTTTAAGTTCGGTTTAACTACTAACTATTTTATTTAGTAAATAAACTATTTTAATTTAACCAACTTATTATCTAAAAAACTATATTCTTTTTCGATATTATTATGATGGAATGTCTACTCCGAGTCTCCGACCACTAGGGTTTGGACAAGTATTTTGCATAGTTATACTTATAGTATTAAAAACCACTTAAACAAAAGTAAAAAGCTAAAAGGTGACTAATGTTTTTTCTTTCTTCTTCTTCTGTTAATCGGAGTTGTCTGGGACACTAGCCTAACGTTTTTTTGTGCTTCACTCGAAGCCTAACTATACTCCTAGAAAGAAATTATTGACGACTAATTAGGTTTCGAGTTTTTTGATGAATTGTGTTGTTATAATTATCTTTTATGAAAATGTTGTTTAACACGCTATGCATAATAGTAAGTAGTAACATATAGCTTATAGTGTGGTGGGGCTCAGTGGGTGATTGACAAAACTGAGGACCAAACTATTAGCTTTCTCTTACCAAACCGATGTTAATTTAAAAGTGACTTTGATTGGAAGGAGAACATGCACCCGAACTTTAGAAAAGGTTATAGTAGATATTCCCAAATTAATCTATTTTTCACAACAAAAAAAAAAGATAATTTGGACATTTCCGATTTGTAGATATTATCTCTATGACAATAGATAATACTTTTTTTTTTTTGAACACAACAATAGATAATACTTAAAACATTTTATATATACTTATTAGGTATACTTATATCATAGCGACATATACATAGGCCGGCGTGATTTGTGTAGGAGTGGAAAATGCCATTATATATGCTAATTATCGTCTGACAACACATTATTTTGTTTATTAAATGGTCACTGAATTATTGAATCTCTTTATTTATGAACATGTATCTTATCTGATGAAAGCTTTATATAGTCTGTAATTTTGCGTGGACTTTAGTGTAATTTTATGAGATCCCCCCCCACCTTTTTATTAAGTAAACTTTTTTTTTTCTTAATAAAATGTTTCCTTTATCTAGATTTTATAATGTATTCAATCTGTTTCATTAAAATACATGTTTTAGAAAATTAAAATGTTTTAAAAGGATACATTCTTTTTTATTTTCAAACTATTTTTTATCAACTAATAATAACTAATTGTAAATTGCACGAAATTATTTGTATTTACCGAATTCGAATTGGTTTAGACTTATGAGAAATATATACTTTAAAAAAATGTGTTTAAAAATGAAATTTAATGTGTTTTGTTAATCTGTATAAGAAAGATTAAAATATACATTTTGAAAGAGAGGAAAACCTAACTCCCGCTTTTATAAAATTTAACTATCTTAACTAAAGAAATCTAAATTTATACTAGCAGAGGTTCGAAAGATGCTTAAAACTACACCAATAATATTGGAGAATTAAGAAAATAATTTGTAATTTTTAGTCGGTGGTCAAATCACTAACGGAACTCTATATACGATTTTTTCGATTAAAAAAAGTCAAAACATATTTTGATTCTAAATTAGAAAAAAATCGTCAAGCAAAATGTCAATGTTCAAAATAAAATAAAATGTCAAACTACAACATTTAAAATTAGATTGTATAAAACCTTTTAGACAATCGTTTTGCTTATCCCTGATATTCATTATATATTCCACAAGGACTTCATTTCTTACAAACATTCAATAGCTTCATCATACCTTTTTATTTATCAGATTCCCCCCCCAAATTAACGTCCTCCACAATTTTTTTTTCAAACCAAAAAAAAATAAAAACTGATCTTTCTTTCCTTAGTTTACAGACAAAGGGAGCTGATTACGTGGGTCTCCCTCANCCTGATATTCATTATATATTCCACAAGGACTTCATTTCTTACAAACATTCAATAGCTTCATCATACCTTTTTATTTATCAGATTCCCCCCCCAAATTAACGTCCTCCACAATTTTTTTTTCAAACCAAAAAAAAATAAAAACTGATCTTTCTTTCCTTAGTTTACAGACAAAGGGAGCTGATTACGTGGGTCTCCCTCACAATCACCACCACGAGCTCGAGTGAGATCGATCTAGGGTTCCCATTATTTCGGATTTTCAGATCGAAAGTTTATTCCTTTGAGAGAGAGAGAGAGATGGGTAAAGTGGCTGTTGGTGCGACGGTTGTTTGCGCTGCGGCGGTCTGCGCGGCGACGGTGTACGTCGTGCGGCGGAGGATGAAAAGCTCCGGGAAATGGGGGCGTGTGATAGAGATCCTGAAGGTGTTCGAGGAGGATTGCGCGACGCCGATAGGGAAGCTGAGACAAGTGGCTGATGCGATGACGGTGGAGATGCACGCGGGTCTCGCATCCGAAGGTGGAAGCAAGCTTAAGATGCTTATTAGCTATGTTGATAATCTTCCTTCTGGGTAATTAATTCTTCTTTATTCTATTTTTTTTTGATATTAGATTGAAAAAAATAAATGATTTGGCGATTTTTCTGGATTTTTTTGTCCGAATTTGGTCAGATTGTTTATCTTATTTGTTCACTATTTTTTGGGGATAATGTTCATGATTTATTGGTTCATTTGGATCAGGTTTTAATTTGGTTTATACGACGATTTGTTTTGTTGCGATTAAAATCTATTGTATTCCATGAACCTATGTCCTTTACTTTGAATCATAATCTTTTGAATCTGATAATCATGACAATGTTTGTAAAGGGTAGAAAAAAAACATAACACTGTAGGTTAAAGTCATTCCATGTTTCGTTTCTTTAAAACTCCTACCTAGTTAATAGGTTTTGTGACATAAAAAAAAAGTTAATAGGTTTTGATGTCTCACTGTTCAATGATTATAATCTTTTCATTGATTCTAGAGAGTTTTATTTTACCTTTTTGTCTTTTGTTTTGTTTGTTTGTTTAGGATCTCTGCTTAGATTCATCTGTTTCTGTAAAAGAAAATGAATGAGGTAGAGGGTTACTGAAATATAATATTTTTCTCATAAATGAGCACCTTAAAGCGTCATTATTGGGGAAAAACTTTTCCGGAAGATCTGTCTTTGACATACTTATAAGTGGGCTTTGTGTTTGGTCTCTACATATTCTAATAGTATCTAATCTTTGTTCAACTCATGTATGGGTATTTTGATGGTTGACCTCTATTCGCAAAGAGAAATTCTTAACCGTGGTTAATCTAGTAATGCATCTCTAGTAGTTCATGTGAAGAGTCGAGTAAACCATCAACTTAGGGTGAATCATGAGTTTAGTTTCACTGGCACTGATTTGTTTCGGGGGTTCTGATATTGCTGACACAGTAACCTTGAGCTGTATGTGAATTTAAATCTAATCACCATCAATTTTGACAGGGATGAACAGGGTTTCTTTTACGCACTAGACTTAGGTGGAACAAACTTCCGTGTCATGCGTGTGCTTCTTGGTGGCAAACAAGACCGTGTTGTCAAACAAGAATTCGAAGAACTCTCAATCCCTCCTCCTTTGATGACCGGTTCTTCAGATGTCAGTTACCTGATTTTGATGTTTAGTCTTTGGTTAGATATATCTTTTGTGTTCTGACTATGTTCTGCTAATTTTGGAGCCAGGAGTTGTTCAATTTTATCGCCGAAGCGCTTGCAAAGTTTGTGGCTACGGAAGGAGAGGACTTTCATCTTCAAGCGGGTAGACAGAGGGAGTTAGGTTTCACTTTCTCGTTTCCGGTTAAGCAGACATCTTTGTGCTCTGGCACTCTTATCAACTGGACAAAGGGCTTCTCCATCGAGGATGCAGTTGAGCTTGATTACCCTTCATTTTATTTCAAATTTATTACTCAAGCAGCTTCCCATGGCTGTCATTTTCATGAACCTTGTTCTTGATGTAACACTTATTGTTAAAGCAAACTCTCAATATCTTTCTGAACTCTATTTCTGCCTGTTGCTGGCGACTGTTTAGATTGGACAAGATGTTGTGGGAGAGCTTATCAAAGCTATGGAAAGAGTTGGACTTGACATGAATGTCACAGCGCTTGTAAGTTCATTTTTTTCACCTAGATTGTCCATTTATTTGTTAACGATTCCTTAAACCTATTTGTAAACTTTGCAGGTTAATGATACGGTTGGAACACTTGCTGGTGGTAGATACTATAACCCTGATGTTGTTGCTGCTGTTATTCTAGGCACTGGAACAAATGCAGCTTATGTCGAACGTGCAAATGCCATTCCTAAATGGCAAGGCTTACTTCCTAAATCAGGAGAAATGGTTTGTATTTTTTTTTTTTTGCAGCACTATAACAACTTTCATTGAACTAGTTGAAGCTTAGTATGTTACTGCAATGTAGGTGATCAACATGGAGTGGGGAAATTTCAGGTCATCACATCTTCCCTTGACCGAGTATGACCACTCGCTGGATTTTGAGAGTCTGAATCCTGGTGAACAGGTATGGTTTACTGGTTTTCAAGTTCTTCGTTTTATAAAGGGGTTGTTCAGATACTCTTTCGGGTTTATTCAGATTTTGGGTTTTTGGGGTTAGAAAGTTAAGCCCCATTCAGGGTTCTAGGGTTAGAGATTTCAGGTGTTTTAAGTTACTTTTAACTATTTTCAGATTTTTATTTTGGTTATTTTAAATATCTATCTATACTATTATTTGCGAAATGATTTTTCGCATCTGAACTCTCACATAAAAGTTAGAGTGGTTAATATCATTTATACCCTTAGTGAATAAAATATAGAAATTAGCCAAAAATTGAAACAAATTTAAAATTTATTTAGATAAGTGAATAAAATTAATAATAATAAGAATTATCCAAAATCTAAAATATATATTGTAAAATGAAAAAAATATTTCTATATACTGTGTTGTTATCCGGATTCCGGAAAATATCTTTTAATAAAAATTTTTAAACAGAAAACACCTAACTAAATATTAACCAAGTAAAATTCTTAATTTTTTATAATTGAAATTAGGATATTGAAAATTTTATTATACGTAATAATTTTCTAATGAAAATCTAAATAATGATATATCATTATTGTCTTTTAATTAGTAACTAGCTTTTTGCACGGGTGTTTGTTTTCGTTTATAGTTAGTTATATAAACATTTTGTTTTCACTTGTAAATTGATATATATTATAGTAATCACATATTTACAATATGTATAGTAAATGTTTTTCAAACATAATAATATTATATAATATGTGTTTTAGTCAAATAGATTGTTTCAAATTTTCTATATTATACATGTTTTTCAAACATGTGTTTGTTTCTTCTTCTATATTTTATTGTTTGATAGATTAGTATATCATTTTAAGATAAAGTAATAGAAATAGAGTTTGATTAAATATTTGTATATTTTAATTTGCAAAGATAATATAAACTTTAAAGAAATTGTTGCTAAAAACTAAACTTATAGCTTCATAAATTAATATTATTAAATTTTTTATTAAAAATAATTTTTAAACAATTTCTTTTTTAAAACAAAATAATTTTAAAAATTTAAATCGAAATAAATTTATCTAGTATATATAACGTGTAAATTTTGTTAGGGTATATAAATATTCCATATTACGAATTTGTAATTTTTGTTAATATATTGTGGATGCATTTAACTATTATTGACATATTTCCTTATAAATAATAGAAGATTCCTAAACTTATATTTATTGACATATTTTGCGTAATTAAGTTGGAAGGTGTGGGGTAATTTACCCAAACCAAATTATTAACCGTATCTTTGTTATTATATTTATGATTTTTTCATAAGATATAATAATGATAAGATTATTAGAGAATTAATGTAAATGACTTTCTAATAATAATCTATTTTTTAAAAAATCACACATGAAGTCAATTCATGACTTCTGTTTTAATATATAAGAAGATGCATGTATTAATAAGTAATTGTAAAATGCATATGTCCGCCTGGGCGGGATAAACACATAGTTTTCAAGTATTTAGTTGAATATTTTTTTAGATATTATAGATTTAAAAATAATTAGTATATTTAAATATATAAATGTTATTCAGATATATTCGGATACTCAAAATATTTTGGTTCAGTTTGGGTTCAGTTCCGGTTCTTCGTATACCAAAATTTTAGATCCGTTCAGATATTTTTCCAGTTACGGTACAACTCTTTTTGCACCGAGTGTGGTTTGATTTTCACGTTCGGGTATTTTGCCCAACTCTAGTTTGTATAGCTCACTAAGCTTCTATCTTGGATTTCTCAGATTCTAGAGAAAATCATATCTGGTATGTATTTGGGAGAAATCTTGCGTAGAGTTCTTCTGAAAATGGCTGAAGAGGCTGCTTTCTTTGGCGACTCTATCCCGCCTAAGTTGAAAGTACCATTCATCATAAGGTTTATTAACTTCTTTTTACACAGTTGTATCGCTACTTGCATCAAAATCAGAAGTCTGATAATTAATCACTTTACTACTGTATGCAGGACCCCAACCATGTCTGCTATGCACAGCGACACTTCTCCCGATTTGAAGGTTGTCGGAAGCAAGTTAAAGGACATACTGGAGGTTAGAACCTCCTCTATATGCATAACGATTCACACTAACCTATATATTGGAGTCTCAAGGAAGTTTCTTTTGATGATCTCTCTTAGGTCCCCACAACTTCACTGAAGATGAGAAAAGTTGTGATCAGTCTCTGTAACATCATTGCCACCCGAGGAGCTCGTCTCTCTGCAGCTGGGATCTACGGAATCCTCAAGAAACTAGGAAGAGACGCACCGAAAGATGGAGAGACAACACAGAAATCTGTAATTGCCATGGACGGTGGACTGTTCGAGCACTACACTCAGTTCAGCGAGTGTATGGAGAGCTCACTGAAAGAGTTGCTTGGAAATGAAGCATCAGATAGCGTTGAGGTGATTCATTCGAATGACGGGTCTGGCGTTGGAGCTGCATTGCTCGCTGCCTCGCACTCTCAGTACCTCGAGGACTCCGAAACAAGTTAATTTAAAAAGAAGGTTTCGACTTCCAAGCATGGAAGGTAAAGAAGACCTTTGTGATTTTTTTGTTTGCCCATTATTGAGGATTTTTGTTTTTTTTTTTTGTTATCATTGTTCAGGAACAATTAAAATAAACCATCCTGGATAATCTTCTTCAGGCTATGGCAAATTTCAAAAACAAGCCAATGTTGTAGAACTATATATTTCATAGTTCTATATATAGATTGACCTTATTTCATGTTTTTTTTACTGATCTTGAGTTCAGCATTTTGATACGCCACATTGGTTTTGGTAAAAGAGTAACTAATCAACGCTATAATAACACAAGTGTCTTCATACAGACTTTCAACAACTACATCAAAACACAACTAAGGAGGTAAGGATTGAGGGATAGGGTTGATTCTTTTGTTTTTGTAATATATCCTTGATCCGTTACAATCGATTTTGTTTAGGGTTTGACGATTTCAATGAAGTTATCATTCAGAGGGATAGGGTTGATTCTTTTGTAATAGTTTATAAAACATTTATAGAAATTTATAAATCTATACTCCACTCCTAAATATTAAACTTTAAACCCAAATATTATGATATTTAAAAAAAGTAGCTCCATGTTGGGTCTGGAGAGAAGATTACTCATTAGCAGTGCTAGTTTAGCACCAACGAAAACAGGGCTGTGTGTCTTCACAAGAGTGGGAACAATTGTGATGTGTTCGATTGGAAGTGGGTTTGAAACGAATCGTACCTACTGTATCCGCCCTCCAACTATATTTGGTTATTTCGGGTATATCTTAGATATCCAAACTCAAAGTAATTTGAATTCGCTCGATCTGTACAATTATCTGTACGGATACTAAACTCCTAAACTGAAATACCCAGAAAATCTGAAATCTTTGATTCAAAACCAATGGGGTTACCAAACGGGGAGGTCTATGCCCAACCGATTAAAAACTTAAAAGTTATATTGTGCCACTCAAGAAGAATTTATTAAGAATATGAAACAGTGCACATATGAACTGATCATAGTGTTGTCAAATACATGAAGCTAGTTACCGGAAAAATGCCTCAATGATCGAACCACTCCACGGACTTGATCGTTGACGCGCAGGGCGTGAGATGCTAGGTTTTACTGCAGCCCTCACATTTCTTACCACCTTTTGATTATCCCAAACCGCTTCTCCTATCTCTTTGACCAACAAAAAAAAATTCAACAAAAATTTCAAAGAAACAGAAAACAAAACCAAGAGATGAATCATGAAAGAAGAAGTTTCTCATAATAACGATAAACGTACTGGTATTGAGTGATTCGTTATAGTATGTTAACCCAGCGAAGACGATTGTGTTCAATGATGCAGAGAACAAGAGAATAATCAAAGTTACTAGCCTCTTAGCTTCCATTTTTTTGGCTTTTTGTTGTAGCTTAGTCTATACTCTTTGAGTTTTGACCAGTTTGTAATTTGTAGATGTATTTATATGTAGAAATCATGCAGCAAGATTAGGTGGGTTACGTCGCTAAGAGAGTATTAATTAAGATTAATTAAACGTGTTTATTAGTATATTTTATATTCATGATTGCATAGAATATGTTATCTTGACTTCTGAGTTTCCTGTATCTATCTGAACAGGTCCAACTTTATTTTCCTCCTCCATAATACATAGAGAATACGTCTTCTTGTGAATAAGTTGAATTAGAGAAAGACCAAGACCAAACAAACCTATATATTTTATAACGAAAGGCGTAACAAACATTTAATGGGAGTAAAAATTGTAGAAATTTGGCGAGTCATCAATAATCATTCTAAACTAAAAAGGTCTAATACTCTACTCACATGCTAATTTGGGCCCATGGGCCAAGGTCTTGATTGTTTATCTTCACGCGCAAGATAAACTTCCGCAGTTCTGGAAGAGGAACTGTTCTTCCAGTGTCTGTGTCTCTGTCCTTGATTGTGGCACTCACACGTGGTGCCAGGCTCCAAGCATGGGGGATGGAGCGAGACTCATCCTCTACAGCAACATTTTTTGATGGGAAGATATATGTAGCCGGAGGCTGTGATGAAACGTATGAGAGTTACCCCAACTGGATCGAAGTGTTTGACCCTAGAGACACAAACTTGAGTTTAGGACCTGGAGCTTTGTAGCCAAAAGCTTATCAGTTCACACAAACATTGCAAAACAAGCATCACTGATGAATACAATGCATATCAATTAGAACTCTATGGAATCATACATAATAACCAAACCACCAAGTTTCCACCTGCAGATTTTCATCAAGAACAACTGAAAGAAGAAGGCCACGCAGAAAATGTGTCTCTCTCTTTCTCAATGAAAGCAAAGACCATTGTTGTAGCGAGATTCTCTCACTCAGCAATGAATAATCACTGAAACAAAGAAACTGAAGTTACTAACTTAATTGTTAATTTATTCGGTGACAATGGGGGAATTATATGTTGTTACCTAGAACACAGAGAGAGAACATGGAGTTAAGTTGTGCTCAATGGTGGCTGAATCTTCTCCATACACAACAACGCCACCATTTACGGATGTCCGAGTTGGTCACACTCTCCATCTTGGAAGAAGCTATAAACACAATCCAAAAACAAAAGTGAAAAGAAGTAAAACAGTTCCAGATTCAGAGGGATAAAAAAAACCTGGAGAGTGTATTACAAAGCAAGATTCTGGAACGAGCGTATTCTGTGTAAATTATAAGTAATTTGGAGAAGAAGATAGTGAAAAATCCAAATGAAATCTTGAGGACGCAGAGAGATGTCACGCTGAAGAAGACAGCCTTGTATATGGACTCCACAAGTCGCAACGTTGAAAATAAAATACAAGTCTTATTTAACATATTCTTCATTTATTTCATAAGACACGGACTTGTACTCATAAGGCACTACAAACCAAATAGCTTAGCCTATAAGTTAGGTTACTTAGTGAGATACTTGCTTAACACACATCTTATGACACATGAAGACTACACAAGGCTTATTTTTACCAAATGGAACATGACAAACAAGAGTTCAACCATAGAGCTTTTTGAGCATCGAAACTGCAGCGAAGACTGACTTCTCTTTCGTTTTCTTAAGGTATAATTTGCACAGGACTGGTCCTGCAACCTTCCAGACAAACCCGCAATACCGAACTCTGTTCTTTATGATGGCATAATCGTAAACGATGTTGTAAAGTGCCAATGCTTGTGGATAGAGTTCTTCAAGGCTTTTATTGCTGTCTTCAAACCCTGCAGCACCATAGAACTCCTGATACATGGAAGAAAACGTTCCACAGATCAGTTATTTATAAATCCATTACATTGATTACACTTCCCCAAGACCAATCAACAAAAAAAAAAGAATTGGTTGACATATCTTAGCAATGGACTTACCTGCTTGTATCTCTGGATGACTTCACTGGCTAATTCCTTCTTATTGTTCTCCTCGGTATTCATCGCCAGTTCCATTTCATTTTTATAGTTCTCGTACAAGCCTCTACATGTCTCCATGTGAAACTCAGGGATCAGTTCATCTTCAAAACATGGGAGTTTCTTGATTTCTGAAATTTGACATACAGTTAAACATGTTCGAGGAGTTCTTGTGTACTCTTATTACTGATAGTAACAAGAAGAAGATCCGTACCACATGGAGGGGGTCCCTCTTCATTCTGAGATACTACGGTGTCAAAGATTAATCCAAGAATAGAAGTGGAGTTGAAAGTCTTTTTTTTATGCTCCATGTAATGTGGAAAAGTATCGAACTTTAAGTCCAATGGGAGATAGACGTTAGCCCCAGTTTTTGATGCATCAAGAGCATCATAATATATATCAATAGCCTTGAGCATTTTTTTCTTCATCCCAGCTTTTTCCTTAGCTCTCTCATCTCCTAACGTGAGGAAACGGTCCATTATTGTTAGCCAGCTCTCAGCAGCGGACCCTATAACATTGCTGTAAACCGAGAAAACAAGACATATTTTAACCAAAACACATATATAATACCCCAAATCAAAACTGAGATCTCCAAGAATTAAATTGTGTACCTGGAATCAAATCTTGCCTTCAAAAACATTCTGAAAAGGCGTTCTTCCAACATTTCTGGTGAAAGTTCACTTGGCGTTCTCCCAGTGTCAATTTTACTAGGAGGAGAAGAACTCACCCATGGTTCACTTGGCTTGAAGTGTTCGAGTAGCTAAACAAGAAAATCAACGGTTCAGCAAAGTCATTGACTAACTTACTTGCAAATCGATGGAGGGAGCAGTTAGGTTACCTTAGGATTTCTGGATATGAAATACAAATCACCATCAAAGTCACCACCTGCAATCTCATCTCCCAAAGATCTTGGACCTATATGAGGGAAGAACACACCATACTTGGAGTTTCCTACATACTCTTCCAAGGCCTTAACATATGTAGCCTTAAGTACATGTATGTCTCCAAAATGCAGTCCAGGATTCCTGTAAACTAGCACATCCCCTGACATTTGGCCGGTCTCACTACAAAACCCAAAAAAAATGAAAAGAATGTTGCACTCAAAAGTGAAAATGAGCAAGAGAATAATTGAGTAACATACAGGATGACGCAGACTTCGTTTTGCTTGAGCTTTCCCGTGGGATCAACTGTGCCCATGAGATAGTATGACTCGGTAACAACAAGCTTTCCTGCTTTGAGATCATTCCTTTCTGTCTTTAGAAAAGTAGACAGTTGATCCTTCAAGTGTGGCTCGTCAAGTGGGATACACGACATGATCATTTGTAAAGCGTTATACTCGTCCATCTCCCCATAATTACGAGCAGCTGCACAACACAAAACTATCTTCATTGAAACTACCTTTATAGTTAACTTCATTGAAAGCTTTGGGGAGGGTTTCTAAGTACCTCTCACCGCAGCATGTTCGCTTTTGAATACTGTTTTCGACTCTTCCAACGTGTTGTGCAATATATCCAAAAAGAAGTCATTAGGAACTCCTCCACAGCTCAGAAGCGCGACCAAGTTCCTCGATAGCTTTGTTCTTCTTGGTGGGTTACTGGAAACCAACAAGAGAGAACATTAAGCAAGATGTTGAGCTTCAAAGGAAAAAATCCTCGAGGCAGCTTACCTTGTAGTGACAACCTCCAAGGAGTTAAAGGTGCTAAACTCAGACAAGGCTGGATCTTCAGACACTTTGATCATCGAAGGTCGAACCTGGACGGTCCGAGGAGGAAGCTGCCAAATAATGAGCAAAACTTTAGGAATAGCTTGCAAGCCTTCTGACTTTCTAACATGAACGAGAGAGACTCTACTTACTTTTTTGTTTAAGAGGAAAGTCCCCTTAACAGCATAGCCATAGTGAAACATCCGAAACTGGATCAGCAGAGGCTGTTTGTGAAAACAGTATTGTTACTACTTGGGTTAAGTGATAGAGAATCAAACTGAAAAGATATGAGTGTAGACTACATACCGGCTCTTTAACATTTGATGCCTGTGCTTTAAAACAAATGAGGAACACATATGATGAGAGCACCAGAGTGAACAAAAGGAAACTAAGCAACTATAAAATTGTAATGGAGGTAGAACAAAGACCTGCATATTGTCACTTCTGATGCGTTTTCCTTTAAAAAGATCTGTTGGACACATCCGAGCGAGGTCCTCAGAGATGTAGCCAGTTCCATCTGAATGTAGACAAGGTTTTCCATTCTTATCAAGAACATCATTCCTATCTTGATCCTGCAAATTGGAAGAGAGGGGAAAAAGGTCAAAGCGCACAGCAGTAAACTACAACTAAATAAGTCAAGGGCAGTTAAAAAAGAGAAGGAAGTACATGGCAGTGTATATCATCAATTTGCTCAAACGTAATCCAATTCATGTCAACTTCAAGCTTCTTTGTCTTGGACAGAATTAAGGAAAACCTGAAGAAGCATCGATTGAAAGAAAGGTGACTCTGATTACAAAGGAGAAGATGAGGTAGTGGAAAATATCTTTAAATGCCTCCCATAGAGAGAGAGAAGAAACAAGAGTGAGTTGTACCTTGCCATATATTTGGCCAAATTCGGCAGCAATGTATGGACGTGCATAAAATGCATACGTGCTTCATAAATTGACTTTCCAGAGAAGATATAGGGGTTTCTCATATCATAGGACGCAGTAGAGTCTGTGCGTATAAAGTAACACTTCACTCCCTTCGTAGAAAAATCTTTCTTCTTCTCTTCCTTTCCTCCATCTTTGAAAACTGTAGACAAGAAGGGGTAAACCAGCTATATACTATATGGTATTGTAGCAAAAGTCTGCTATGTTACATAGAAGTTTAAAAATGTAAAGTGTTGTATGTGAAATAATATAAATGAGACAAAAGTACTCACCAAAAAACTGATAACGGCGTAAACCAACCATGATACCAGTTTTAGCAATTTCTTTATATGTAGAGTAGATGTCATTACAATAAGTTTGCTCGCCTGGGACGTCCTCGAATTTGACGGTTAAAACATTTTCATCACCCAAAACCTTGTGCAGGTGAGTTCCAGTGTACTCTACGAGAGGGCCCTGTGAGGGAGCACATAAGCAACAAAGTATTAAGTCACAATCAAGGAGTTGATCCTTACAGTGTGTGGGATGGATGCACATGTTATAGACATATGATAACAACAGTTATGGCAATGGCCTCTGAACTAGACCTTGAACTCAGACACGTTTTGTTAAAACAAAGAAAAGCATAAACATATGCAACCATGAAAGATAGTGCTTGGAGAGTCGTCTAAACCTTGAATCTGTAGCTGCCGTCGGGAGCAACAATACACTGATAGTAATGAGTATTTCCGTTATCCCATTCAAGCGGCTGGGACAATAGAAGAAGCAGTTAGTACAACTCAACAACAAAGTCAAAAGTACAAAAGAATGTCTAGTTTCCAACAAACAAGTCTCTCTCCATTTCTTCTCAATTCATCTAATAAGAAGAAAGGCAGATATAACAAGAAGAAAACACCGAATGGAACAGAAGAGAGAAGAGAGACATACCAGTCTTCGGTCTTTTGGGGAACAATAACGGCAGCCCAAGCTGTTCCAAACTGCAGTTTCGTATTCAACCATAGGCAAATTCTTCCATTGTCTGATCTTCTCAGCACTAGTAACTTGGCCCAAAGATTGTCTGCACAACATCAAACAAGGTAATTAATCACTTTAGAAAAAAATAGATTGGAAATATATATATATGAGAAAAAGGTAGAAGCTAAACACACCCTGGAATGTAGCTAAGCAAGAGAAAGGCCTTCTTAAACTCAAGTTCACCCAAAGCAAAGAGCTGAGAACCTCCATTGCTTTCTTGTAGTAGTTTCAAAGACTTGGGAGAAGGAACTTGAGAATCAACAAGAGACATCTCTGCAACAAACAAATAGTCATAAAGAAAGTTTCCATCTTTTTCTTTTTCAATTAATTCACATCTATATATACACTGACTGACCTTGAAAAATTAGCCTGCAACTCTTTTTCCCAGGAGTTCTGGGAGACAGTACGGGAGACCCGCCTGAGGAGCACGGACGTGGAGCTTGGTCAAGAAGATAGATGATGAACCCGTCAAGGGTCCCTTTAACATAGCTAACATTGAAAACTTTACTGAGCGTTTCCAAAGCCAATTCCTGGGGGAAGGAAGACAGTCTCAGTTTTGTCTCTGCCTTTATCGGAGGATGATTGTGTTTACTGTAGATCTTATTCAGAACGTTTTCAACGCTACTCGAAAGACTGACCACCTCTGAGTGCAGAGACGACGAAAATGTTAACATTGTTTTTTTTTATCAAGAAAGCAGAGACAGTAAGTGGTCTCTTCTTCCCCTCTAGAGAGGGTTTTATAAAACAGAGGTAGTGAGTGAGAAGAGAGAGAGTGTTCGCTGTTTGCTTTTGCCATCTTCTTTCTCTCAAAACTTTTGGACATCTTTTTTCTTTCTTCTAAACGAAGCAAATTTGTTTGATTTGACACTTCAGAGATTTTATGCAGTGCAAAATCAAAAATATAGCCGTTTATTAATTAAATGTTTTCTCATTTTACCGAAAAACAACTTAAGAAAACCAGAATTACAAATGTGCGAACGCCTCTCTTTTCTTACAAAAAAAAAAGCTAAAAAGTTGCAGTTTTTTTAAGAGCTATTTGCACCAAAAGTACATAATAACTTGAAATTTGCAAACATGAAAAATCAGCAAAAGCACAATTCACGATAAAACAAAAATACGCATGTACCCCTATTACTATTCATTTACGAAAGAAACTAGGTATGTATAATAAGACAGCTGTGTAATAATATATACATACAAAAATATAAAATTTATTCAAAATATATTTTTACTCATTCTCTTTCCATTGTATCATCTCATCCTCTTTCTCTATTTCTCCTCTAAATGTACCTACACAATCAAATAAGATAATTAATAACATCTCATTTAGAGATTTGTGTATCATTCTTCCAACGATAAATACTCCTCTTCTCTTGAATCCGTTTTCTGTTTGGGTTTTGATAATTTTAGTTTTTATAGAAATCAATTATATAGAAAATGGTATTTTACATAAAGAAGATGCAGTAGATGTATGAACATGTAATGATCCATATAATTCAGTTGTCTCACCGATAAATTATAGGTGTTTTATGAACAACGGTACTTCAATTAAAAAACTTATGTTTCTTCACAAGCCGAAATGTCATCTCCAGCGAGCAGCAACAAAGTTCACCGTCTCAGAACACTCTATTTGAGCTACAATTAGCTCAAATGCAGTAGCTTCACCAGCTCACACTCTCCGTCGTATTTCCCTCAGTTGTTGTAATACATCTCATTGCATAAACCAGTTAATTGGACCGGTGGACTGGGGTTTACTTCGGTTAAACCAACTTAACTACATTGATCTCAGCTTAAACATGCTAACCAACACAATTCTCGGTCATTGGTTATTTAAGTTAGTAGTCGTCTAACTCAAATAATTATCTAAACATTATTTATGTTAAACGGATTTTTTGATAGTAGCTGATTATCACTATAGACTCAAATTCGTAAGTTATTCTCATATTTAATAAATTAAGTAATCTATATTATAATAGTTGAGTTTCAAGACTCCTCAACGCGCCACATCAGCATTAGGTGGGTTCCATTTTAAAAAATGTGAAAAATGTCAAACATATGATTCGAACCCAGGTTATTAAGAAACAAACACTAACATTCATACCACTAAACTTCAAGATAATTTGTACATTGATGGCCGAAACTAATATATATTTAGCCGGAAACCTTTGCATCTATGGCCTCCTTTAAAGTTTGGGTCTGGAAGTGTATTATGAATTTCATTTTTAATTGGGCTTCATCATATTATATGAAGAAAATCCTCAAGTTTACAACAGTTATAGTTTTTCCATATTGTAAACTGTTAATGTTTAAAATGAGTTAAGATTCCTTTCACCATCGACTCATACAGGTCTGAGTTACAGAGCTGTGCCGTGTGTCTGTTCGTAATCTATTTTTTTCATCGGTGAACTTTTCATCTCCCCATCTTACATCGCTTGATCATAATGTTCCTGATTTGTAGTCCCTCTGTAAATCATATATATATGATTCTCATCTTTGATGAACCCTATGTGCATCTCCACAAAACTTATCTATTCCTCTTAACTTTAACCATCTTCTAGAAAATGTCTCTCTCTCCTTCTCCAGTTCCTAAAACTAGCATCACCGGCATCCGTCATGCAGCCTTCAAGTCTATATGTCATGTTAAAGTAAACATAAGCCATACCAACCAAAGTAACATATAGAACCTCAAATCATTCAGTATGGGTTTTAGTAAACGAAACTAATAATAATAGAAATAAAGTCATACAACAAATTCAAACCTTCTTATTGCAGGTTCCGAGAACACCGAATCAACAGAGGTTCACTGAGTAATGAATGCGACAGAGACAGCCTTAACTGAGGTGAGCTAATCTCTCTTCCATGTTGTTATAGAAAAACCATAATTTCACAAAATGACACACTAAAAACACAATCAGACCAAGAATCACAAGAGCTTGTCACACTACTAAGATGACGAGGAGAAACAAAAAAGGCGAGTAAACAATCCAGTTTCAGATCTAAATTGAGACTCAAGACTCATCAAATTTCAAGTCCAATCATTTAAAACCCAGCTACTACATGTTCATTGTGTTCGAATATAGTCCTATACGACTAAACTTTTTAATCTACCATTCCCATTTTTAAACTATCACAAAATATTTTTGACAAATATAAAAAAAATAACTATCTTAGTCATACATGTATATAATTATACCAAGCATAAGCATTTATTAAACTACAGTTATATATTTTCAAAACATGTCATGGCACATTGAAAACAACAAACTATATTTCTTTTCGAATAACAAAATTATTTCTTTTTCGTTCCCATATTATAGTTGTATAGTAACAAATACCTATATTTGGTTACATATGGTTATTAACTCACTAATAACATTAAGATCCAATTAAATCGTAAAAAATGTAGAAATACGAACACATATAAATTCGTCAAACACTCTTATTTGTAAATAAAAACAGGTCTTTACTCACCGATAAATATTGATCTCTAAACATTCCACACAACCCCTTAACAAACATGTTTCATCTTTTTCTCTTCAATCCATTAAACTATATTTCTTTGTATAATTTAATAAAATCTTAATTTTTTTAGAAAAATGCTAATTCACTATTTAACAATAATATACTACCAACCTACAAATTAGACAATAATAACATAATAAATCACCCATCCTAGACATAAAAGCACTAATAACACATAAATTCGAAAAAATCATTACTAAAATAATATATGAATATTTCAAAGCATATGATTTTTCACTCATTCATATACCAACTCAATTCAATCGGGTTTTCGGTTAAACCCCAAACAAAAAAATGTCAAAAAAATGACAAAATCCCATCTATAAAACATCATAACGCATCATCACTGTCTCCAGCTCCGCGCTTGCGCGGAGCTATGAACCTAGTATATATCAATTATACAGATCTCATTATTGTTAGTTGGATTTTTCGATCATTGGTCGACTAAATTTTATATTTATCCGGAAATCATTATTGTTAGTTGTTTTTTTAGTCATTTGACATATCACTATAGATTCAAAGTCGTGGGATTCTTCTTACATCTAATAAGTTATCCGAATAAATTATTGTTAGCTGAACTTTTTGATTGTAATCCGTTAATTTAAATAATTATTCGGACATTCTTATTGTTAGTTGTATTTTACGATCAGTAGTCGATTATCACCATACACTCAAATATATAGCTTATGTATAATAAATTAAGTAATATATATCAATTATACAGATCTCATTATCGTTAGTTGGACTTTTCAATCATTGGTCGGCTAACATTTATACTTATCCGGACATAATTATTGAATTTTTCAGTCAATTGACATATCACTATAGATTCAAAGTTGTGGGATTATTCTCACATCTAATAAGTTATTCGAATATAATTATTGTTAATACATCAAATCAGCGTAACACAAACTGACATAGTCAGTTAAATATCATATAAAAAGAGTCAAACAAAAACATGGGTGCATACATAACTTAGAAATCCTTCACAAAATTTATCCATCTTACAAAACACTTATCCGTAACAATATTTAAAATTACTTGTTAATATATCAAATGGCAAGAGTCAAAAAGAAAATAAAGTTGCTTACATAACTTAGAGATCTTACAAAACATTTTCCCAAAATATATAGCCGTAACACAAACTGATATAGCCGGTTAATATTGTTGCTGATGTGTGTGGCCAGCAGCAAAAATCTTAAATGGTAACTCTGTGGTCTCCATAGTTTCCAACAGGAGATAAGATAGAATTGTGAAGGGATTATGGATTCCGGTGAGATAGATTAAGTGAGACAGGTGAGATATCTTATGTATCGAACGCAGGGTTAGCAGGAGTAACCGATGAAAATGGGGAAGAAGAGAGATGAAAAGAAATGGTTTCTAGACAAATGCATGTATCGATAATAGTGCTTCTCTTCACAAACCTTTTCACGGGTAACATAACATTGGAGAAGAAATTTATGTAAAAGAGAGGATGAGAGAATGAGGAAATAAGAGAGAGATAAAATAACACAATATTTTATGGGAGTAAACTTACAATTGTACAGAGCGTGGATAATCCGATGAGAATTTGATTAGTTTGTAAGAAAAGTTCCGGCGGAGTAAACAATGAGAATGAAAAATATGAGAGATGACATTGTCGTTTTAGAAATAAGGAGTATATCGCTTATAGTGAAAAGGAAAATAACTCTCTCATGACAATTCTTTTCAGGCGTACAATAGAGATATAGGTGTTTTGTATACCAGTTAAGCATTTAGGATGTTTGTATAATGAATAGGGATGATACGGACAATAAAAAAGAACACATCAGCCAGAAACATTGAAATCCATCCTTACAAATTATTCAGTTAGTGGTGTATAGAGACTGCAATTTCTCTTTTTTTTTTAAGTTAATAAAGTCAAAATCCATAAATAACTTGAAAATTAGGAAACTAACTAATACAGTAAAAATACAGGTTTTTCTGTAGCAAAAGGGCATACAAAATTGCATTTGAAGCCCTACTAAAGTTATATCCTGTTTGAGATGGTAGAATAGTAGCTGTCAAACTGATTTTAAAAGATATTGTGAAGATTTTTAAGATTTGAGTTCTCTGTTTTCCTCTTCCCCCCCATCTTCCCGCACAACCAATGAAATCCCTACAAAAATTTCTGAAACAATTTTTTTTAAAAATCGCAGACAAGAAATTCGTCTTTTTCTTC